ATGGGTGCTCAGAGGAAAGTCGCGGCTAGGGTTTCAGAGGATTCGGACGAACACAGTTTACAAGCAATTCTTCTCGCCGACAGCTTCGCCACGAAATTCCGACCAGTAACCCTAGAACGACCAAAGGTACACTATTACCGCTAGTGAATGTCCCGATGATTGATTACACCTTGTCATGGCTCGAATCTGCTGGTATACAAGACGTTTTCGTCTTCGGCTGTGCTCACTCGTGTCAGGTAATCGATTATCTCGAGAATTCCGATTGGTACTCGAACCCAAACCTGTTAGTGAAAACGATTGTGTCGCACAATTCAACAAAGTGCTGGTGATGCTTTGCGTTACATCTATGAACAGCAAACAGAGACTTCTCAGATTTTAGGTGACTTTGTTCTTGTTAGTGGTGATACTGTGAGTAATATGCCACTCGTTGATTTGATTCAAGAACATAGATTGAGGAAGAAGAAAGATGAGAAAGCTATCATGACTATGGTTATCAAGAAGTCGAAACCTTCGCCGTTCACGAATAAGTCGAGGCTTGGGACCGATCAGCTCTTCATTGCTTTAGATCCTTTAACAAAACAGCTTCTTTATTGCGACGAGGATAAGATCGGTAACGTTTGCTTAGATAAGTCAGTATTGCTATGCAATGATATGCAGGATTGCTACATTGATATTTGTTCTCCTGAGGTGCTTAGTCTCTTTGAGGATAACTTTGACTATCAGCATCTGCGTCGTCATTTCGTAAAGGGTTTGCTTGGTGATGATATTATGGGTTACAAGATTTTCACTCATTAGATACACTCGAGTTATGCTGCTAGGGTCGACAATTTCCGAAGCTATGACACAGTTAGCAAGGATATAATCCAGAGGTGGACATACCCGTATGTGCCAGATATCAATTTCAGCGGGAATCGCCCTCTAAAGCTCGGGAGACAAGGGATATACGGGCCTTCCGATGCGATTCAGTCACAGTCTGCTCATGTTGGATCTTCCACTATCATTGGATACGGTACAAAGATTGGGAGTGGGGATAAGATCTTGAACTCGGTTATAGGTAATGGATGTTGTATTGGTTCGAATGTAGTGATACAAGGCTCATACATATGGAGCAATGTTACGATTGAGGATGGGTGTGTGATAACGAACGCTATTGTTTGTGATGGGGTGAAAATCAGAGCTGGGGCTGTTGTGCATCCTGGTGTTGTTCTGTCTTTCAAGGTTGTAGTGGGGCGGGGTGTTGTTGTACCTGCGTATTCAAAGGTTTCCTTACTTGAACAGCCAACTGAGGAAGACAGCGATGAAGAACTGGAATATGCTGACAGTAGCAGGGGGACTGCAAATGTTTTGTCAGGCGTACATTCGCTGCAAATGGAGTCTAAAGCATCTGATCTTGGTCCTGATCGAGCAGGTCACATATGGAAAGTATGTGAAGGGGCCCATTATTATGAGGAGTGGTTGTATTCTGTTGCACCAATCCCCATGGATAAACTTGCTGAGATCATGAACGATGATGATGACACAGAGGACGAAAGCGTTGTCCTGACTTCTGGTGAGTTGAAATCTGATGCTGATAGTATTAACACTGATGTGAATGATCCCAATGATGACTATGGTTACTTTGAGAGAGAAGTTGAAGCTACCTTCTTAAGGGCCGTTGAGGATGGTAACTCTGAAAATTTAGTGATGGAGATAACCGATCTTTGGAAGTCACACAACAGGGAACTTAAAGAGTGTGCTGCAGCAGTATTCTACTCGATGATGAAACTGGCCATTGGTAGTCCACATAACTCTACTCGTGAATTATGGACAATTACGTAAACACAATTGATGAACAGATAGAAGTGATACAGAAATGGGAAGAGATGTGTCAGGAATCGCCTGAGGAGTTGGGCCCTTGGTTTGCTCGGATTCTGCATCTTCTGTATGATAAAGGCGTGTTGCCAGAAGACGCCATCTTGAGATGGGCGGAAGAGCAAGCAGGCGTGGATGACGATGAAAAAATTTATCTGAATCAATGCTAGACGTTCATACAATGGCTCAAGGAAGCATCTGAGGAGGAGGAAGATGAAGAAGATGGCTGAATTGGTAAACCTAAATTTGAGGGAACGGAACAGAAATAATTCTTCTCATAAACCTTTGTTTTGTTGAATCGGGTTTTGCAGGAAATTCTTTTTGTAATTGATTAATTAATCTAATTTCAAAACTAGTTTATAAAGCAAAACAGTAGAAATTTTACAAACGTGGATTAACTTTATCAAAACCACAATTAGTAGTGTATTCGAAATCACATTTCATGAGAGTCAAGGGTTACATTTTTTGATTTTGGCCTTGTATGATTTGAAAAATTTCACGCTAGAATCAATTTAAGTATAATTGAACTATTTAATCAGAACTACATAAAATAATCAACTTGGCTACGGAATTGAAGTAGCTTTGGTTTTCTTGGTCCTATAGAATTCAAAAACTAACAAAAGTAAACAAGTTTGAACTTG